CAGTCCAGCGCCAGATGAAGGAAGGTGGTAACTAAAAACAGAAGAAAAACGATTTCACTATATATGCAAAGTATTATGATCCTCCTTCCCATATTGTGCCTTCTATGGGCTTGCTAATGATTTGATTAAGTTGACCTACAAAAAGAAACCAAAAAAAAAAAAAACCAAATAAATTACACATTAATTTTGAATAATAAAACAAAACTTGACCCAGAAAAAATAATAATAAAACGAAAAGGATAGAAAATTAGTTATGAAGAAATATTGCCATATAATTTGTTTTTTCAGCCCCCAATTTCTTATATATGATGCCTTGGTAAACCCTAGTTTTCCATGGATGTCAATGGTAAACAACAATAACTTTTGAGTGTCACGATTAAAATTCAAGTCCTGTTGAGAGATGTGAATGGTTTTCTGGGATATAACAAACAAAGCCAAGCAAAGCAAAAATGTTTTGATCTGCATATATCATCAGCTTCCTCATTCCTAGTCTAAAGTATTATTAATTGTATTATATATATATTATAAATAAGAATTGAAAATTACCTGAAAGATAATACTGCTGATTAATGTTGTTGATTGAACGCTGCTGGTGCTGGCTTAGTGGAAGAACAACAGAATCAACCAGTTTTGCTTGCTTTATGATCTTCTCTGGACTTTGTAACTCACAATTTGAAGGATAACCATATGAGCCTGAATCTATTATCACATTCTCGTTCTCATGAAGATAACCACCCAAATTAATGTTGTGATTAGTGATTCCATTAGCTCCTCCACCATTCCAACCAACAAAATCCGACAAAGATTTACTAAAACACATTCCCTTTTGCACTTGTGAAGGATGAACCATTTGAATTTCATGGTTTTTATACCGCTTTAGCTCATCAAAAACCATCCTGTACTCCCCGTAAGGACCCAGCACCGGATCTTTTTGCCTACAAAGAGCTTCCCAGACCAACGAATCAACCACCTTTCTCCGATTCGCTTCATTGGCATTCTTCACCATCTTTGTTACGTTGCTTACCCCGAAAACTTTGTGCACAGCGAGGAATTCCCGGGTTCTATCAGCAGGAAAGTAAGGCGCCAATACACACCCATCGTGACACTTTTTCCTTTGATGCTTGCATGCTGCACATGCTGGTTGCGTTCCTGGTGTGTCATTATTCTTCCTCTGCATCCTAACATATAGATCAAGTACTTCTATTAATTAAAACAAATCAAGATAATACGTACCACACCAAGAACAATTTGTTAAATTATACGAATGTGAATGAAAAAACAAAACTAAACACAACGAAAAGTCATTCAAGTAACATAAACAAAGATTGGAACAAGAAGCTTTACAAACCTTGTGCTATATATATATATAATTGATGTTGAAATGAAAAGACAATGTTGGTATAAGTAATAAGAAGAAATACAAGTGGGTAGAATGGAAGAAAGTTTAATTCTATCTAAAAAGCAGCATGTAAAGATGGCACGCCTATGGTATAAAAAGAATGAGTTGTGTAAGGGTTGAATAGGGTTTTAGGTAGTTCATGAGAAGAAAAAGAGTTCTATGGAAAGAATAAAATAATTGGGCAACAGTCTTCTATGGGAGGTAGACGTGTAAGGGTTGAGGAAATTATTTACAAAAGAGTTTTCATGATACGTAAACAGTAATTTAGTCACAATTGGCAATTCCGATATTTCAATTATATTATAACACAAGATATATATAGCCATTGCCATATTTATCACTAAAATAAATAAATTTCCAATATATATGTAGTACGGTCCTCAGGTGAGCCGTTCTGCTATGCAATTAGGGGGGGGGGGGGGTGTTCAAAAATGCGAAAAATATTCTCCAAATATCGATGTTGTGATAAAAGAATAGAAAAGTAGGTATAAACTCAAAATGAGTAGTGTTTATTAGGAATAACCCATTGACCCATTACACGTAAGCAAACACAGCGGTGGATTCAAGAATTTTTAGAGGGAAGGGGTAATATTAAGAAGGCTAAAATAAAGGTCAACACAAAAAATTTAAACAACCAAATAGCCTTACAATTTAAACAATACTAATGTTATTCATAATTAAAATAAATAAGAGTTTTACGTCTAACACTAATTGATTATAGTTTATTTTGTATATCAATTAATATGCACAAAATTTATAATGTTACACAATTAATTCATATCAAATATGAATAAAATGCATGTCAATTACACAATTAGTCTACCAAAATTCATATGAAATCATCTATTAATCTAACCAAAATCAATACCAATTAATCTAACCCAAAGTACATATTATTTGGAAGTCATGAGATAAAAGTACATGTGATTACGAGTTCGGGGTAATTTTCGGTGAATTTTTCGGAGCACAAATGATTTTTTAATAAATTTTAAAAGTTAGTCTATTTAAAATTTGACACATGGTGCCTTGATAGTGGACCATATTAAAAAGGAATTAAAGTTGAGAAGCACGGGATTCGAACTTCAAACATGTCCAGTCGTCTTCTTCTTCGACTTAGTCTGCAACTTAAGTGAACAAATTTCAAAATCTTCTCAAATTTATAACTTTGCTTGTGGAGGTCCAATTGACGAACCTTTTTCTCCTACATGATCGTGAGATCGAGCCCAACAATCTAAGGTAAATATTCAGGGTCTCACACAGTAGCAACAAAATAGCTTCTTTGAGGCTTTTAATCAAACACTTAGTGGGCACAAGCAGATTCCGGCATCTCTAATGCATTTTCCGGCGAGGAGAGGTGCAACTGCACCTCCTTGTGCCTCTGTGGGTCCGCCACTACATATGTGTATTGATAAGTTAGCCTATAGATTGGGTTTTGCCCTACACTTATTAAGTACTAGCCTCTCTGCATGCATGAGAGGCCTTCAGGTGCGCTACGCAGGACTAAATTTTTTATTTTTTTTATTTTTTACAATTGTATTTTTCTTTTTATACAAGCGATATTCTACTTATATTGTAATTGATTATGGATATTATTATTGCCTCTATCTCTCAATAATTTGTAAAGCATTAGTTGCTGCAACTATTTGTGGTAAGCAAAGGTTTTGGTAAGGCTTGTCTCTCAAGATCATATCTATGGAGAATTATTATTATTATTATTATTTTGACGAGATGTATGGAGGATTATTTGACTAACTTTCATATCAATTAATCTTGATTGTCTACTCGATCATTTACCACCAACCAACACATGTATATAGTTTGCATTTGTCCACCTCTTCATTAGGTAAAACGCTAGTCATATGTGAGCTTCAGTTTTACCTTCTGATTAGGTATGGTTCAAAGTTGTTTTTTTTTTAGAAGATAAGATTTCATTAGATAATCAAGTCATTATAAGATGCATCAACATGTATATATGTGGTCTCATTAAAACTTATCTGAGCAAAATTCAGAGGGACAAAATCCCAGAGGAGGAAAGAATACCACACATACCATAGACCATAGGAGAGTCAAACATCAACAAAACTAAGAAGACAGTCCTCGAGAAGACATTCCCTCAACCAAGGGGGTGGATCATCAAACCAAAAAGACAGGTCCTCCTAACTAAGATTGAAGCGCACAATACGATCTACAACACCATTAGCAGTACGAAGTATAAAATGAACAAAACAGGACGATGTTGAGGCAAGAAGTCGTCGGATTTCCTTAACAAGGACCCCTTCCACCGCATAACATGCCTCCTCCTTGAGAAGCAATTGGGTTGCAGTCAAGGAGTCGGACTCAATTATTAAAGACAAAGAGGATGCATTGAGCACAAAGGAGATGCCAGATTTAAGAGGGTGGTCTCTGTGAATCTTAGTCCCTAAGACATAAGAAGCCTCTCCAAGATCTTTCATCTCAAAATTCATAGACAGAAAAACCTTGCTTCATCACTGAAATCAGAAAGACATTGAGAATTTGTTGAAAGAAAAACTGCTAGAAAGTAGAATGTCATCTACAGAAAGAGTACAAGAAAGAGAGAAGATCTTTCATCACTGCTAGAAAGTAGAATGTCATCTACATTGAGAACAAGAAAGATAAACCTACTCCCACTGCTTTTCAAGTATATGCACTCATCCAACCTACTCTCAATGAAACCATATGATGTAACTATCTTGTCAAACTTCAAATACCATTGTCTTGAGGCTTCACTATGCCAAATTTTACTTTCAGCAACACTTCATATGCATCAGTAAATAGTAAAATCGATGCTATTAGTATTAGGCATCAATTTCAAAAATTATGATACTAAACATGTATAAAGACATCAGCACAAATATATATATTTTATTTTTTTATTTTATGACGATGCCTTTATTCCCCTTTAGCATCATCTACACTAGCCTCCCTGCACGCACTTCCGCACGTGCGAGAGGCTTTTTTTTAATCACACACGCTACGCGCGACATCCAAAGTTTCGTAAATATTTTTTCGCCATTGTATTTATACAGATGTCCATTTCAACAGTTTCATATTTTAATCGCGCGCGTGTGATAAATCGTCTTCTTAAAAGTTTTCCTTTATCACCCGTATCTTTCTAGAAGTCCATCTTAACAATTTACACGCTATAAAAGAAAAAAAAAACTGCTAAGATGGACTTCTAGAAAGATACGGGTGATAAAGGAAAACTTTTAAGACGACGATTTATCACACGCGCGCAATTAAAATATGAAACTGTTGAAATGGACATCTATATAAATACAATTGCGAAAAAATATTTACGAAACTTTGGATGTCGTGTGTAGCGCACGTGATTAAAAAAAACCTCTCACACGCGCGGAAGCGCGTGCAGGGAGGCTAGTCTAATGAACTTTAGGAGCTAGGTGGATTCTTATTCAATTAATTACTCACATGTTAATATTATCCCAAGCAAATCCAACATTAATAGGAAAATGTCAAAAATAATTTAAGTAAAATAATATTTTCATTCTACACAACATCGTAGTTTTAGATTATGGACATAAAGTTTTACATAATACGCACATAGGAGGAAGACATGCAACGATCAAGACCACTGGCGCCACCCGTTCCTCTCTAATTGATCTTTCACCTTTTTATTGTCAAACTATACATAAATAACATGAGATGAGACCAAGTTTAAACATACACCTTTAAATTTGTAATTGACAAATTTTAGCATTATTTGGGAACACGTATACTCACCTTCAATTTTGATAGTTTATCCTTTGCTACATGCCTACTCCAATTATTGGAAGAAAACTGTACCAAAAAATACAGTCATTTTCAAAAGTCAAGAGACAAAGGGAAAATCATTTCGTTCCTATATAAGAAGCCAAGTTTAACAATAAAACAATTAATAAGAAATTGGTAGAGGATTGAAGGAACAGTTTCATGATTTGCTACCTTAATTTTGTGCTCTAATTTCTCCACATAGCAACGGGTATGATGTTTGTAAAACTGGTACAAAAATTAGTATAAAAGTAAATTAAAGTGTAAACTCACTCACTTGAGATGCTAAAGTGATGATAAAGTACCTAGCATAGAAAGTCTTTATGTCTTTGATTAAGTTTTCTCCTATACCAAAAGAAAAATGTTGTTAGAAAATTAGAGTATCATCATCAAGGTTATGATTTTTTATTTCTTTCTAATTTTAAATAAAAACAATACCTAATCCGACAAACTGTTTTGTAGGTCCAAATGATATGATGAACATTTGCATGTCTGAGTTGTTCAAGTGCACGATTTTTACGCCACCTATATTTGTCACTTGTCATCATTAACTTATAGGTAGGTAAAGTAAATATTTCTCCAATAAAACAATACTTAATGCCCTGTTTTTTTTTTTTTTCCATTCTTTCAAAATTAGAAGACTAAGATCACTGTTGTTTATTGTAACTTAATAACTCCAACTCGATGAGACAACTGAAACATGCCTATTACACTCTGCATTCTAGTATTCAATTTTGTCAAAATACTATTTTCATGTACAACCATAAGCAATAGGAAGGTTACATACTCTTAAATAAGGATTTAAATAAATTATAAAAACATAACTTTAATGTTGTACTAATTGAAAAGTTAAAAAAATTTACCTTGTTATCATCATTTATTGTATTAACACGCTGAACCAACCCACTATGAACTCTATTTGTAAGCCCATGACACTCCACTTTTCCTATCAAAATTGGAATACAAAATGATTGATATAACATGAAAATTAAAATTAAATAAATTTAATAACCAAAGCATGTACAAAACATCGCATTTATCTTGAGGTTCTAAAAAGAAGGGCATTATGTGCATTGTCTAACTCTTAAAAAGCATATATATATTTTAAATTACAAAATAGGTATATGTAACTAATATAACTCTTTGAGTCAAGTAACAACAAACAAACAGTTACAACAATAAATGATAAAAACATGTTGTGGTTATTTGAAAAGGTATTCGTGATTAAAATTATGCTTACTTATTTTTAATCGCCATCATTGGTTCTACCACATTCCGAGTGAAAACGCCTTCTTGACCGGTTATTGACCCTTTTTTCACTAACACTTTTGTAGTCGACTTTGAAACACCCCTCGATAAACCCACGTATAATTGTCCATGACTGAAAACGTGATCTCAAAGAAAAATACCCACATGTGGTATTGTTTGACCTTGAGATTTATTTATAGTGAGAGCAAACTCAACTTCACTGGAAATTATTTTCTTGTTAGTTCAAATGGTAGCCCAGCAGTCTCAGTTGTCTTTAGAGGGATACGTGGTAGAAAAACCCTGGTCCCAACATATTGTCCAGTTAGAATTTCAGCATCAATGAGATTTTGGTACAACCCACGACATAATAATCTTGTTCCATTACACAATCCCAATTTTGGGTCAGTATTTCTGAGAAGCATGATTGGAGCACCTCTCTTCAAAGTTAACTTATGTAGTGCACCAATGCAAATTGAGTTCAAGAATTTCGGCTGATACAAATTCCTCATGTCATCCTCAACTGAATCAAACGAATACATTGTCTCTTCTTCGCTTGGAAACATATTGATCATCTTTTCATTCAACATGTCAACATCTTCATTTGTAGGAGTTATCACTGCCCTTTCCACCATGTAACTTGCATCATTTATATGATCCTCCAAATTAGGGAAAACTTGATAAATAAATTCATTGATGGATAGCTCATTCTCCCATGGTATTACCAGGCATTTAGGTACTCTTATCATATCATCTCCAACAACAGGTTCTTCCCCATCACCAACACGAAGTAAAAATTGTGAAAATTGTTGATCATTCCTGGATCTCATGTTTTGTCTAAGTTTCAAAATCTTTACTTGTGACCAAAATGATGCTTTCACCACACTGGCCTGGAACAGTTCCGACTTTGTTCCTTTAGGAATAACAGGAAGTACTTGTCGAAAATCTCCCCCAAAGATCATTGTTTTCCCCCCAAATGGTAAGTCAACATCAATTATGTCTCTAAAAGTTCAATCTAGTGCTTCAAAGGCATGACAATGTGCCATCGTTGCTTCATCCCAAATAATTGCCTTTGCCTTTTGTATTAACTTTGCCAAATCAGATTGTTTACTAATCGAACATGTAGATGATGAATATGTGCTAAGTGGTATCTTGAATCTAGAATGTGTTGTTCTCCTACCAGGTAATATTGTAGCTGCTATTCCAGATGTTGTTGTTGCTAATACTATATGGCCCAACCTTCTCAAGTTTGCTAACAATGCATGGTATAAGTAAGTTTTTCCAGTTCCACCTTGTTTGTACCATATCTGACCCTCCACTCGTACAACGACACGTGGATCTCATAAACTCGCCCAAGCACCCAAGGCCTCGGACAATCGGCATAGGCTACTGATGATATTGTCTCAAAGCAGCAAAAGATCATTACAGGGCCCAACACAGCCTACAATCGGTATCCCCTACCGATTCTGCAGAATCAACCTCGAAGCACCCGCCTGAAATATCTAAGGACTCGTGTCAACCTCACAGGGCCCTCCCACGAGTCCCACATCGGAAATGAACACCACAAGCATACTAAATGCCCTCTATAAGTATGCCCCTCCCACTACAATACAGGGGTAAGACTTTTCAGCTTGACTTTTATACTACTATATAGTCAACAGCAAGAGCTCTTAAAAACAATCTTACTCGAGCATCGGAGGGTCTTAGGCTGGTTCCACACCGGTTCCATAGACTTTACGAGCTTCGCTTATCTTCTATTCAGGATCAGCATCCAAGGACAGGAAGAATCGGCATCCAACACCCAATCGATCTCTTGATTGTCCATCCCACTTGTAAGTTGCACTCATCTCTATCTATTCAAGATTTAGCGCCAACACACCTGGACCATCCACAAAAAAAATTGAATTCTGACATCGTTCAATTGTGTCCATTATTATGTTAAATGCAGACTTTTGGTTGTCATTAAGACGTTCAATTGCAAGAAGATCTTCTTGTGAAATACCTATTGAGAGTTCGTCTTCAATACATCTAGGCATTGCAGAAACTACTTTTGTTGTCATTTGAGGCAAATCAAAGTCCTTGATATTCTTGTTAAACTGTACCAGAAGTGTGTTTAAGTCACGTAAAAGTCTGTTCACAACAACATTGCAACTTAAGTTACTCGGGAAAGCATAATATTCAATCATGCATGGATAGAATTCATCCCACAATGTTCGGACACCAACTGGTTCACAATATACCAAAATTGTGACAAATAATCTTCTTAAGGCCAATGGCATCCGAATTGTAGAGGCCTCAAGCAAACATTGTCGAATACTATCATCTCCTTCTAACAAACCTTGTTGTTCTGCTGCCTCCTTAAACGTTGGTTGCAAAATGCCACCAACTGTCATTAAATTTAGAAATGATGTGGCTCCTCTGACATGATGCAGAAGTATACGTAGGTAAAATTTCTCACCTTCAGCAGGTGAGATTGTGTATATTCGCCCAATAACCCTGAGATGATTCTTTCTTTTAAACCAACCTCTTTCATAATGAATCCATCTATAATGCTCAAGGATCTCCCTGTACAAATATCTCCTTGCTTCTGCATCATTACGATTCAAAGTGAAAAATTTTGTGAGCATTGTCTTGTTAAGTCTCTCGTCTGTCAGAATATTTTCAATAGTCTGGTCAGATTGAAATCGAACTTGATGCATATTAGGAAGATGTATTTGTAAGCACTCCACAGTTGGGTATATCCGATTGATTACAAACTTGAATATCCTCCACAACGCTTTTGGTGCACAAACCCATCTTTCATCAACAAACTGTCGTATTTCATCACAAACAGGATCTGGCTGAACCTTGAGTGCCACTCTGTCTGGACCTTTGTAAACATACTTATATAAATATTTGACGCTTTTTATGATTGCACATATTTCAACATTAATGTGGCAGTCATACCTCAACAACAACCAAGGATTATATGGAATAACCCAACTATTATCAACCGTTATATTTCTTTGTCGATCAAGTGGGACAGGCAAGCGATTTCCTCACCTTCGATAAATTGGATATGAATCATTCCCTTGAATAGTGGATGCAGCAAATGATTTAGGGTAATTTCTTTCACACCTTCCATTTTTCATACAGGGAGATTCTGGATTTTGAATTCCACATGGACCGTGCATCATATGTTTTAATACCACATTGTAAAGTTGAGGCTCTTCATGTTCGTTTGGTCTTTCAGCTTTAACAATTTGGTCATAATCATTAGGGTTATTGAGCTTGTCATTTTCATCTAACACAACCAACATATGCACATGTGGAAGACCCCATTTTTGAAACTCAATAACGTCTGCATAAGCAAAAACAGTACCTAATACCCCTTTCCCATTGATGTCTTCTTTTAGTTCCTCCAATTTTGCACGAAATACTCTAGTGAGTAAGTCGGGACGATCTTGTGGCGTTTGTCCAGGGAGTAATTCTCTCTTAATTTCTTCCCAATTTGGGTTGCATGTCATGGTAATGAATAGATCTAGCCTGCCAAATATTTGAACCAAAGTCATCGCATCTTGATACCGTTGGTACATGTCATGTGGGGTTCCAGCAAAGGATGATGGCAGAATGGTTCTACAACCGATGTTACCTGATCCATTGTCATTTCCACTTAATAAATGTTTTACACAAACCTGGAACTGTATATTTATATATATTTTTTTAAAACAATTGATATTAAATATGTACCTGCTGTTGGAGTTGGCTCGACTAAACGAAGGAAAGAAGGAAGCAGCCCAGCATGCAGGCGCTCGAGCGGATCGCGATTTCCTGTTTTAATACAGGTCGGTTTTTGGCCTATTTTTGGGAGGTTTTTTAGTTTCCTATTCCTTGTATGATTGTGCTAAAGGCCTATACATATAAATAGGTACTTTAGACTAGGGTTTAGTTAGAGATTCAAGATATACAAACCTAGGGTGAGAGAAAAAGAGATCTAGAGAGAGAGAGAGATCAAAGGGAGTTCTTTATTGTAACCAAAGGGATTTTTCTCATACTAGTGAATTTTCTCGGGGATCACCGGAGAGGACGTAGGCACGACGCCGAACCTCTATAAATTCTTGTGTGTGTTTACTTTTGTGGTTTCATGTGCGATTTATCTTTGCGTAGCTTGTGTTGTGATTGTTGCGTAGTCCATCAACGACAAGGTCTTGGAAGTGTTTTCGCACAACAAGTGGTATCAGAGCCGCGGTTGCGGCGGGCGTTGGTTTATGCCCAAGTGCTCTTATAACTTTAAGAGTGACGGTGTGTTGAAGATGGCAGGCGACAAGGACGAAGAATTTTCCAGCACTAAGTCACAAAGGGTATCAAGCACAAAGGTGGAGTTAAAGTCGTTCACCGGCAAGGAGAACTTCACGCTTTGGCAAAGAAGAATGAAGCATATTCTTAAGCAGCAGGGTCTCAGCAAAGTTTTGGAAGGCAAGGAAAAGAAGCCGGTAACCATGACAGATGCAGAGTGGGATGACCTAGACAAGCTTGCTAGAGGGTCCATCGAACAACATCTAACCGATGAGGTGTTGTGTAATGCGATGGAAGACACCGCAAAGCAAACATGGGAAAAGCTAGAAGAGATGTTTGCGTCAAAATCATTGTCCAACAAGCTTTTCTTGAAGGAAGAGCTTCACTCTCTTAAGATGGAGGAGGGCGCAAGCATGATGGAGCACGTGAGTGCCTTTAATAGGTGTATTGCTGACTTGCAGAGAATGGATGAGGTTTATAAGTCGGAAGACAAGGCCGTGATGTTGTTGACATCCCTGCCACCGACGCTTATGTTCGGGAAGGGAACCTTGAAGTATGAAGAGGTCATGCAAGACATCCTGATGCATGACAGAATGGTTCAACGTTCCGGTGGAGTCTCTCAAGGTGAAGGTCTTGTGGTCAAGTCCGGAGAGAGGTAGATCGAGCAAGCGTGAGGGCAAGAAGAGCAATAAGGGAAGGTCAAAATCCAAGGCGAAAGATGGTTGTTTCGAGTGTGGGTCAAAGGATCATTGGAAGAA